ACTGCTCTGAACGGCCCCCAAAGTGGTCTCATGTCACACAGTGAGCATAGCACGATGCGTGCGCTGTCGTGAACAGGCACTTGGATGATTTTAAGGGAGCAGATACACACAGGAGTGAATCAAGAGAACACTTGATTTTTCCTAAGCAATGATACATTTACAAGAGGTTCCAGTATTCACAACTGTGGCAAAAGAAGTTTTATTCTGAGGTCTACATAAATAACAAGTTAACCAGGAGGTACAAGTTCAGGCCTCAGTGTTCCCCACTGTGTCAAAATATGACATGAGCTAGTTGTTTTTTAATTACAATTTGAACAAGACTTAAAACATGTTTCAAAAAATGGATTGTTGAATATTTGTGGAATCTCTGCATACCCTTTGTAGAACCCAAGAGGTCTACAGAACCTAGTTTGATACCCTCTAAAGTATTGGATCCCACCGTGGGGAGAAGAGGAAGGGAGAGGGGATGATGGGCGAGAGCCAGAATATAAACATTAGTACTCTCCAAGCCATTTATAATCTATTTGGCGAATTCCGACTTAACCTGGTTACGAACTGCTCGTCTGAGTCTCAGTTTCCCCACTTTCAAAATGAGATGGTTGATAAGGAGTTCCCAAACCACCAAATCCAATGGCAACAGTATCACCCTACATGCTGTATGGGTCAGTTCAGGAAAAAAAAAAAAAAAATAGGGATTTTTCATCATAACCAGAGAAGTTAAGACCTGCTCTCTCCCTGAGCTGCTGTTCATAGGGCTTCATGATGATCAGAGTCATCGTCGGGCTGCTAGTGATGGGCCAGGCTCTGCTTCTACGACTCGCCCTGTCAGACGCGGGTGTGCGATTGGGTATGACCCAACCTGCCCGCTCAGAGGTTGGTCTCTACTTCCCTTTCATATTGACAGACAAAAATGAGTTGCACTACACACTGCATCCAACACGGGAAGTTCTTAGAAATGTTGACTTGAGAATGACTCTCAATACAATTTTAGTTAGTTGTATAGTCATTCTATTGAATAAGCATACAGAGGCAGACCTCAGAGATATCGTGGGTTGGGTACCAGACCACACAATAAAGCGAATATGGCAATAAAGCGAGTCCCATGAATTTCTTGGTTTCCAGTGCCTATAAAAGTTGTGTTTACACTATACTATAGTCTATTAAGTATGCAATAGCATTATGTCTTAAAAAATGTACATGCCTTACTTAAATAATACTTTATTGCTAAAAAATTCAGCAGCACATAATCTTTTTGAAATAGTAACATCAAAGATCTCTAATCACAGATCACCACAATACATATAATAATGAAAAAGTTTGAAATACTGCTAGAATTACCAAAATGTGACACAGAAGCATTAAATGAGCAAGTGTTGTTGGAAAATGGCGCCATGATGCAGGGTTGCCACAAAACGTCAATTTGTAAAAAATGCAGTGTCTGCTAAATGCAATAAAACGGAGCGCAATAAAACGAAGTATGCCTGTATTCTTGAAACGCATCTGCCATGAAGATTATATATAATCACATTGGTCATGTTCGTACATGTCACTTACGTGCAATGGAAAGAAGCTCCCTCTAACCTGTTCTCTGGTTCTCCACAAATGTAGTTATTTCAATACAGGTCACAGAAGTTGATTTTCAGGGTTTCACAGAAACTCTTCTGATAAGTAGAACCCATGCCAGGCATTGAGTAACAGGCCCCACTTCTCTTCACATCCCCAGCTCCTCCCTGCAGGACAAGGGGCCTCACGCGGTGTTTATGGCCACCCCAGTCTGTGTGTCCCCATTCTGTCCGATGTCTGCAAACTGCTGCCCCTTATGCATGGGGTGAGGACACAGGTGGCCCAATCTGCCGTTAGGAGGAAGGACTGAGAAAAGCCCGTGCAGTTCCCATTCAGTCAGGGAATTCCAATGCCCTGAGTGCGGCTGGGTCTCAGGCACCCTGGATTCTGTGCCCCATCAAGGGAGGCAAGGCAGGAGCAGGGCCAGCGCAGGCTCCTCTAAGGCATGAAACCCAGGCCAGGGGCCCGTCCCGCCTGGGTCTAAGGCATTCACTGTAGCCATCCACATCTTGATTCTACACCCTTGAGAGAAATAGGTATAAACAACCCTTCCTCTCCAGGGGTACATGTGCACTCTGACTGTATACTGAGCAGCAAGAACCCAATACTCCCTAAGGACACCTGAAGGTCATGCAGGAGGCACCCAGTTAACGGCACTTAGCCCTCCCTTATCAGATGAAGACAAGCCGAGTCATTTGGCCCTATGTTATACCAACTACAGCCACAACTGGAGTCCGGACTTATGATGACTGTCCTAAATTAATTTCTACCCCAAAGGCCAACTCTTTCAAGGAGCTTACAGTCTGATAAAACCCCTACGTAACTACAAACAAGATAGAAAGCAGTATTATGAAAGACATTAATAAGACGTTACTCTGGAAACAATGAGGGAGGACGGGGGTGATTAATTTCTGCAGGGGGTACCAGAATGGGACATTTGAGTCAGGCTTTGGAAGGTAAGTATTATATTATTAGCATTTCTCCTGGCTGCAAAATGTCAGTTTCGAATCAGTTAACTTGTAAATTTCTTTAACATTCCACAAATCAAGTTGATTCCCAGTTCCTGTATGACATAACTCACTAAAAAATGTGTATTTCCAGGAAGTGGAGTGTAGTCTTTTTCTCTTCAAGAAATACAAAAAATAAATACCAGTTCAGTCTGAAAAAACTGATCCCAGGCCTTTATGTGTCACTGTGTGTACATAAACCAATGTATCACTATAGAAATGGATTTTTCCTTAAAAAGAAAAATAAACAGTGGGAAAAAATTTTAATGCGGTACCCTACAGGAATCATATTCTTTATTATTGACATTAAGTTCCAACTATGACTCTTTCAAATAAAGTCTGAATTTGTTCCAGTGTCTTTCCCAGTTGCTAATATTTTTTACTTTATGTCACATAAGAAATACAGAGTATGCAATACAAACTACATACTGAAAAATCAGGTATTTACGACTGCCTTTCCCCTTTTCTGTATGAAATCATTTGTCTCCATTTTCCTGTCTGAACATATCAACTTTCAGCAAGAATGGAATGTTAATTGGTGTTACGCACAAGCTGGGCTATCATTCCTCAAATTTAATAATAAGAAAAAAAAACCCAACCCAACTGGGTTTCCTGTTTTTATTTATGGTTTTCAGTGCCCAGTTGTGGGGGATCAAAATACAGTGTCTCAGTTACGGCTCATCCTTCCCTCAATTAATGTACCAAAGGAGACTGGTTCCTTCCATCTGCTCCCCTGATGACTGTCCGGATCGCAAAGCCTATTCAAGCTTCTCCCCAGGGCCCTGAAACAACATACGAAACTACTTCCTAGGGAAGCTCTAGCCTACCTCACCCTTCCCACTGGGGAAACACACAGACTCAGCCCTTTCTGGTGTGATTATATAAGAACACAAGGGCTCACTTGACCCAGCCCAAATTGGAGACTTATCCTTTAAACACCGTCTCGTGTCCTGTCTTCTCAAAAGTGACGGTGTATGTTGGGCAAAGAGGAAACAAGAATGATTTATCTTTCAACAATAGTGACACATTCTAAGGAATCCTCTGTAAAAATTCTGATGCCCTAGGTAAACTATATAATGTTGGGAAAGTATGTGATCTTACACATCCAGGTTCTAGTATCTGTATTTCCAGGGTGAGGAAGCAGAACACTTTTGCAAATTGAATGTTTTTCTAAGGCAAGTTACCTCTCTTAGAGAATTTCCAACTCCCCTCCTGAATTTCTACTTCTCATCTGAGGCATTACTGGAATTTGGGGAAATAATTCTTTGTTGCGCAGAATATTAGCCTCCTTGCGGCCACCACCATTCCCCAAGTTGTTATGATGACCAAAGATGCCGTCGCACATTTCTCAACAATGTTTCCCCCTCCCCCCAGGGCAGTGCTGCCCTTAACTGAGAACCACTTTGAGGCTAAAGATGGACTATATGTAGAAAATGGCATACTGACCCAAGAAGATTCTTTTACTTAAGGCTTAATATAATGCTTTGAGGGCAATGTTTGTAGGCTTCATGGAATCAAAGGGATTCTCCATATCAACCTCCTGCCCCAAATAAGTAGCACAGCAAAGGAACATGACTTGGCTTTAAAAATAAATCTATGCGTGAATTCACTGCATGGAAAACAGGTCCTTCAAAGACAAGGGATATTAATGCCTGCTTCCAGGCTCCTCTTTGTATATTTCAGGTGCAGAATTTCATGAAAATTCATCTCAGAAACAATGAACTATAAGGAGAAATAGAAGCTAACCAGAGCGAGTAGCTAGTATGGTTTTGTGTCTGAATGAGAAAAAAAACAGAATAACTGTCATTCTTTGCCAAAATAGAGCCTTTGGGTTTACTCTTCGTAGTTTGGCTTGGATGACGCCTTCACCCGGCAGGGTGGTGCTACTTGTTCACAGATCATCCAAGTTCACTGTAAATTTAATTTCTTAAATTAAAGAAATTTTAATTTCTTAATTAAATTAAGAACACACCACAGCTTCACAGGAGTGCTTTCACACACCTGTGCAGGTACCTGGCTGTTTCTCAAACTAGGATGCTGCAGACAGGTCAACATTCCTGGTGCTCTCTCCTCACTGACCTTGAGCTATGTTTCCCTAGACACTATATATGCAGCTCTGAACACAGTGGTTATGGCAAAAAGCCATATGGCAAAACCATTTGGAAACTTGTAACTGATTCCTTTCTAGTGGCTAAGAAGGAACCGTCTATTTCTGCAATGGGTTCTGTCCACAACAAGCCCAGCCTGGATATGTCTGTAGTTGTAAGCATAACACTTTCCTCCTACTGCCTGCTATATAAAAAGTGCAAAGACATTCTGTCCACCAACTGACCATGGGCAGTAATAACATTAGGGGCCTGGAATGGGGGCAGTTTGTCATTCAAAAGCAGAAAACTAAGTTTAATGAAAGAACAGCACTTTCTCACTCACCACTGAGGTAAGAGCCATCTGAAAACTGTAGATGCGGGCAAGGCCGAAGTCAGCCAGTTTTATTTGTCCACTGCTGGTCACCAGAATGTTCTGTGGTTTTAGATCACGATGTACCACTCGGTGAGAATGAAGGAAGTCCAGACCTCGGAGAAGCTGAAACATCATATCCTAAATAAAACCAAAAAAGAAAATCAATCAATGGTCAAAACAGAAATTCAACATGCTAAATCCTCAGCACTTAGAAAAGTGCTTGGCATACAGAAAGCATTGCATAAATATTTGCTGAATGAATGAATTTGTTTCCCCCTACTGTTCCACTCTCCCATTTTCAAGATCACTACAAAAAATTTCACTCTTGACCTGTATTTCATTAATGAAAGGATGATTTAAAAATAGTTTCAGATGGCATAGGAAATATTCTGGAAGGATGTACACCAAACTGGTGTCCATGGTTAATGTTGGTGAGAGGAAGTAGTTGGTGAGAGAGGGACACTTTTTACTTCATATACTTTTATAGGATTTAATACATGATTCCAACAATTAAAATCCAGTAAACAATGATAACATTAATGGTAGTTCTTCTTATTATTATAGCACCTATCACTTAGCCGTCACTACGTGTCAAGCATTGCTCTAAAGACCTTCTCTTTAGTAACTCACTTAATCCACACCACAACACTGAGGTAAACAATATCACTGACCCATTTTACAGGTCAAGAAACTGATACACAGTAAGTGTATATAATTAGCCCAAAGTAACACTACTAGCAAAAGACAGAGTCTTGACTCAAACCAGAGTCCAGGAAAACTGGATTCAAATCCCCAGTGCACTTCTTCATTAGATCAATGATTGAATGAGCATGGAAAACCGGGTAAACCATTTAACCTCGCCAAGCCTCAGTATTCAGGTCTGTAAAAATAGGAAAACCTACTTCATAGGATCACTGTTTGTAAAGCACTGACAGTAGTCAGCATTCAATAAATGGCAGCACTTACTGCTGACGGTATCAGCTAGCATGGAGGAGGGGGGCATTCAGAAAATAAACCAACGTCACATCTTCTTCTAATTTTAGAGCTGATAAAATCAGATACAAAATTTAAAACTCGGAAACTGTCTGAAAGTAGGAATTTAAGATAGTGACCATGATATGGCCCTCTGAAATCTGGGGTTAATAAGACTGACCTACCCCCCTCCCCAAATATTGTGAGAATGGTGTGTAAAGGGAGGATGGAATGATTTTGTTCATATAAAGGTTAGAGAAATGATTAGGTAGCATCAGGGGCTTCAGAGCTGGCAGGGGCTGTGAGGACACACTTGTTCATCAGCTAGACTGTATTTAGTTATTGGTTTACAGTATCGGTATTTCCTTCAGGGAGTTCTATCTTTATATCCTGGCTTATTCAAAACCAAAGCCTTAGTTTTTCACCTATAAAAAGGAGAAAACAGTGCTTACTTCTCATAATACGAGATTTAAATGAAGTAACGCATGTAAAGAAGTAGTTTCTGGCACACGGTTAGCATTCAATAAATGATAATCGTTGAAGTGTCCCGTTTCCTGGGGGAGACAGAGTAACAAACAACTAGAAGAAAATGTGGCCAGTGCCACAAGGTCAGTGAACAGAGCACTAAGCAAGTGTGCAATGATACAGGTGTTACTAGAATTCTTTTTGAGCGCCACCTAAATGGATCTGATGAACTGGCTGGGGTTACCTTCTAAGTTTCCAAAGATGAAAACTCTGGAGAAGACTGCACTGTTGAGGGACAGACAGTCCTTCAAGACTTAAGAACCACTGAGGGTAAAACAACTTGGAATGAATAAACAAGAGTGTGAAAATGAAGCACAAAATGTTAACGAAAGTAATCTACTGTTGCAGCAAATAAGTCTTTATTGGAAACACATGCACATGACTTGTAAGCAGTGGATTTTAAACAGCATGACTAACCTAAACTAATGTCATGCTGGCTTGTCATCTTTAGCTTCTTATAAACTAAGCACCAACCATTTAAAACAGTACAAAGAATAAATGTGCTTGGTTCATGTTTCATTGTTCAAACAGTTTAAGCAGCCAATTAGTAGAATAAATACGTAAAAATTTGAACCAATTAATTATACTAATAAGGCCCATCTTAATTTATGAAAAGCCTGAACTACTGAGTTTAAATACATATGTATTGCTTTTATTTGTGTATTTATACAGCACACACTACATTTTCCTTAATTATAAAACTGGTACATGCTTAATGCATATAGAAGCTTTTTTAAAATTTTATTAAAAATCCAGAGGAAGAACAAACATCATGCAAAATCCCACCACTCAGAGAAGAGAGAAAACTTTACTGTTAACTTTTATCTTTCACATCTTTTAAACAGATACTGCTATATTTGGAGGTATAAATGTATTATATCTCTATATAAATATTATAAACAATATATATCACATACAATATAATATTAATATGTAAATATAACATATTTATAAAAATTGTTATTCTGTACACATTTTACAGTTGTTTAAAAAACATTTAACAATTCATTATGACTATTTTGTCACTTCAACAAAATTCTTCTAAAATATAACTTTTTTATACAATATGATTTTTAATGGCTGCATAGTTTTCCTTCGTATGCCATAATCATTATTATTTGGTTTTAGTTGTGTTATTTTGGTACATATACTAAGAGTCTAGTTCTCCTCTGTTTAAAGGCTAGTGTAGATGAAAATGACTTCTTAACATCATATAAAAGCACAGTTTAGGCAGTGAGAACACATATACTGGCACTAACATTGATTCCATGTAAATGACACCTATGGATGTATAAAAAGTTGGTTCTACATAGGAATTACCACTCTTTGGATTTTATTAGGCTACTTAAAAAGTTTTTTGGTTAGCAAACTGGGTTTTCTTTTAAACCTATAATATCCAGCTATAATTAGAGTTTTGAACTAGTTTTGAACATATGCACCTATGTTAGGAACTCTGGTCACAAATAGAATGAGGAACTCTGGTCCCATTTCCTGAGAATTATATGAATGAATCAACTGTAACACTAAACAAGGCAAGAAAATAAAAAACACCTTTCCTTCAGAATCACAAGCAGTGCTTTGATCAAAGACATTTCAAAGGATTCTCTACTTAAGCTTATCATCTGTTCTATCTCAATTTATAGTATCATGAGACATACTTTTAAATTAGCTCCTCAAGATTTTAAACTAAATTAATCCGTCTTATACAAGACTCAAATATTTCCCAGTAATCCTAGCGATGCAACGTAATGTAACTATGGATACTGCCAATTAAGTTAAATATAGGTTTAAAACCTTTTAATGTTACAATGCACCATTCTGGTATAAAATGTCTACTCACACTAATGATAAACAGTCACTGGAGGCCCTCAATCTGTATCTTTCTGAAACATGTGACATGGGAGCATATTTTAACAGGACACCATCATGGAATGAAGTCTGGCTCCCAGTGACTTTAGATGGGGTTTTATCCTTGGCAACTCCCCTAAAAAGACTCTGGACTTCAGTCTGAACACCAGAAGTCTTCAAAGCCTTGTAACAACAATTAGTTTCTCTTAGGTGTTCTAGAGCAGTAATCCTCTTACTTCTTTGAAAACAAAACAAACAAGCAAACTGAAAATCTACCTCAAGCTTTTCTAATGGGAAAAAGTTTTATCACTGGGTCATTTTTTCCAACTACACAAAAGGTATGATTAGTTTCAAAAGATACTGAAGGGCATCCCTGGTGGCGCAGTGCTTAAGAATCCACCTGCCAATGCAGGCACACGGGTTTGAACCCTGGTCTGGAAAGATCCCACATGCTGCAAAGCAGCTAGGCCCGTGTGCCACGACTACTGAGCCTGTGCTCTAGAGCCCGTGAGCCACAACTGCTGAGCCTGCGTGCTACAGCTGCTGAGGCCCGTGAGCCTAGAGCCCGTGTTCCGCAGCCGGAGAGGCCGCCGCGGTGAGAAGCCCGCACACCAGAGCGAGGAGTAGTCCCCGCTTGCAGCAGGTGGAGAAAGCCTGTGCACAAGAGTGAAGACCCAATGCAGCCAAAAATAAATAAATAAGATAAACAGATATTGAAAACACCAACTTATTCCATACAGTAAATCACAAAACTGACAGCTCTCAATAGACAATTCTGTATTTTTGGATGCATCTACCTAAATCTAAGTGATGCACTCACATCCTCAAGGCTTTAGCAACAAAGGTATACATCAGTAGTTTATCTACTTAAAAATTAAAGACATATACAACTTGCACAAGGATAATCATTTTTTTCTCCTTACAATGTGTAAATCACAGTCTTTTCAAATTTGTTATCCAATTTTTGACAGAAGAGTCTTCATAACGATTTGTTGTTTCTCATGAAGATCTCCCACCCAGTTTGCTTCTTATGAAGGATGTTAAAGGAATCTCACAGATCAACACCACAAAGGTTTTTTTTACACTAAACTGGTAACATGTTGACTTAAGGTAGGGATTATAATTACAGGAATAAAAGTAACAGAGCATGTGATGATAAAGTCATAAAGCAGAGGACTACTGACAATAATGAGGGCCAGTCCCGGGATCTCTTTGTTTTTCCTTTTTTGCTGATTACTAACATATATTTGAAAATTTTAACTGTGGTAAGATACACATAAAATTTCCCATCTTAACCATTTTTAAGCGTATAGTTCAGTAGTAAGTATATTCACACTGTTGTACAACCAATCTTCAGAACTTTTTCTATCTTGCAAAACGGAAACTCTTCCTATAATTTTTTTTTTCTTTGCGGTACGCGGGCCTCTCACTGTTGTGGTCTCTCCCGTTGCGGAGCACAGGCTCCGGACATGCAGGCTCAGCAGCCATGGCTCACGGGCCCAGCCGCTCCGCGGCATGTGGGATCTTCCCAGACCGGGGCACGAACCCGTGTCCCCTGCATTGGCAGGCGGACTCTCAACCACTGTGCCACCAGGGAAGCCCGCAAAACTGAAACTCTTAGACCCACTAAACAGCTCTTCACTTCTCCCTTCCTCCCAGACCACCCTTCTATTTTCTGTTTCTGTGAATTTGGCCACTCTAGATACCTCATATGAGTGGAATCATAATGTATTCGCTTTTTTGTGACTGGCTTATTTAATTTAGCATAATGCCCTCAAAGTTCATCCATGATG